AACACACACACACAATGTAATTTGTTGATATCCACTCTCCCATCTCCTCCCAGAACTACCCCCATCCAATGGTGACCTTTTTTTTAAAAAATCCATCAAATACAATATGTGCTGCCCACATACTCATGGATAAGTGGCCTTCACTGGAGGGTATGCCCTTAAAGAAAACTGATGAGCTCTCTTTCAGTAATTATCAATTGCCAATAGCTCCTTAGACAGGGATGGGAATTCATGCCCTCTTCTCTCCATTCTGGAATTTTGTCTGGCTTGAGCTTGGGCAGATCTTGTGTGTGGATGTCTCAACTGCTGTGAATCCACACTGCCCCCACTGTGCCCAGAAAGCGGTGTTCTTGTAGCCACCCCCTCCCTCTGGCCCTCTTCCAATCTTCTGGACCCCTTTTAGTGCATCTGTCAACCCTCACCAGCGACACTTCCTTTTGTGGTAGAGAGTGACCAGCGCAGAGACCCACAACTGGCCAAGGTTCAGAGAAGAAGACACTGGAGAGTGCTTGGCCCTGAAGGGAACATCTGTATTACAAACCCTCCTCCCAGGGGTCAGGGGTCATCATGGAAGAAGAGCTGGAAAGAATGCAGGAGTCAAATGCATTTTTTAAAAGCTCCAAACTAACCCAAGGATTTGGCAAATGACAGAGGCGCTCTTTCTGGTATCATGCACACACATTCATTGCTGTGTGCAAAAATCCCAGGGGAACCAGAGATTCACTAAAAATCTCACACAAAAAAAACTTCTCCCTTATGGGTTTAATCATGGAGGGGAAGTCCCTCCTCGCTGTTCCTCAGAATGCACCTCTCATTGTCAGGGAGGTTCCATGATTCATAAATATGTTGCTCAGGTGTAGAAAATGAAAGACCATGATTAGGAGAATGCTTTGAACTGGTGACAAGTGTGGGTGATTCGGCTGTCACCAAATTCCCTTCTTTGAAAACATTATAAACATCTGCTATCTAATATCACTTCCCAAACCATCATCTTTCCTCCACATTTCTTGCTGATGTGAAGGCATCTTTTAGTCCTGGTGGCACCACTGTGAGCCTTAGAGAAGAACATCCCTTGTGAAGACATTTTACTGCCATCTGCTGGGAGAAAAGTGCCATGCTCACTATGTACCTTCATCCTAGGCTCTATGCTCTCTGAGCAATGCTTGGCCACTCCCAACACCCTGCGAGCTCCGAGTTCTGCCAGGGGAAGCAACAGAAGGCAGTTTCAATGAGCTTCGTTGTCTTGAAGAAAGAAAGGAAAAATAATTTAAGAATTACTTTTAGACTCAAAGGAGAACGGAGTTTCTGCAAATTAATTATCTCTTCCCCAAGGTGCTTTCGCTCTGCGGTTGTGAAAACCAAGGTTTGAACTCTATTCTGACATGATTGTGCTAGGTGGGCTACAGGGCTGCTATGTAGCAAATGTTCGACATGGCTATGAGTTTTACTGTTATGAGTATCTGCAAGAACCTGCTTCTTCCCCTGAAAATGAAGATAATAGGCAATACCTAGTGGCCACGTCTTGTGCTAATTACCGGGTGAGTGTTTGGTACCACGGAATCAACAGCAATATTAGCTGCTGTTGACTCCGGAGGTGATATTAATTATGGATGCTGTTTCTGTGATCTCCTGTTCTTCCCAATCCACAGATAGACTATTATTCTAGCTTTCTATGTGTAAGTCTTATAATCACCAGTTTTGAGATGTTTCTGTGTCACAGAGGTAGACCAGATTCCAGATCACATAGGCACCCCAGTGAACAGGTATCCTGTGGCTGAGGGCAGAACCCGTTCCAGGCTGAGGGATGGCTTAAACTGGTCAAGAGGTTCTACTTTCACATCAAAACTCAGCGTGACGTCACTCTGGAAGTCTTGTGGATGGCTGCTGATGCTACTGTAGTAATGTCACAAAGAAAACGGAAATCTTAGAATAAGGATGAATAGAATGGCTTCTTACTCCTCTGTCCAGATCACTGTCCTATTGACGTCTTGGAGGATTTCAACAGGAGAAATGAGCAGCTAAGAGAATCAGCTCCTGGAATTGGCTGGGTTGTCTGAATGGAGAAGGCCATGGGGCATGCGCGCAGGAGAGCCTTGCATCCTGGAGAAGACTCTGCTCAAAGCACTTCGCACAGTGCTGACACAGCAAGCCTCCTACGCTTTTTCTATCCAGCATCTGCTCATACAAATTCTGACCAGGTGGCAAACCCTTCCCCTCTGCTCTCGAGCAACAGGATACAGGACAGAGAACACCTGTTCCAAAAATGCACTGATTAGCTGGAAGTTGGCAGGTATAACATGGGCTCAGGGCCACATGTGAGGAGATCCGGCTGCCTTGTCAGCTACTGGCTCTGCTCCTGATCTTGGCTCCAGTCCATGTCCATGGCTAATGGGATTGATCCATGGGCATAAATCTGAGCTCTGGTTGGCAAGTGAGAGGTTATCGCACTCAAGGCCACTTCCGTGTGTTGCTGCTTATCTAAAAGCAAAAGCTTCCAAATGGAGTAGGGTATGGGAGGCGTAGGCATGGGTGTGATGCTCTTCACCCTCAAGGAGCTTCCAGGAAAGTGGGGGCCACTAAGAGGACTGTACAAGCACCAGTTAGTGAATGCTAGTAGTTACAATGTAGTTTGTATATACAGGGTTGCTTGGGGAAGGTAACAATAACCAAGTTGGCATGTGCTGGTTGGATGAACAGAAGCAAAAACCCAGGAGAAACTTAGGGGAGCCAATGGATATGAGTGGGACATGAGGGAAGTGTGGGAGAGCATCCTGGAAGAGGGACAACGGCAGGTGGATCTTGGTGGTTGAACAGGAGTCTGTCTAGGATAGAGGAGGCAGAATCCTATGGTCATAAACAGGATGCCGTGTGGGGCACTGGAGATCAAGTCTGAAGGAAAAGGACAGAGCGCAGTGAAGAAGGGAAGGAAGAATTGAGTCACCAGGTGTAGCAAATCAATGCGGGAAGACCTGATGAGATGCTGATTTATCACTGAAAAGCCCCAGCGGGACAACACATCATGGCTCTCATGGTCTGGAGACTCTTTGGGGTGTCTCAGCCATAGTCCCTCAACTCGACAGATGTTGGCACACATACAGGCCAGCCTACTTAGCTTTCTCACCGTAGAAAACTCTTACCCAGCATGCTGTCATATTAATTAATATGTTTCCTGATCAGTAAGCCGCTAGCCTAAACTAAGACGCCAATCTAAACATCATTCAGAACAGTTACAAAAAGGAAATTCTGTGTGCTTTTTTTTTCCTTATAAAAGTTAGAGGCCAGCATGAACATAAGTCAGAAGTAGAGAGAATATAGCCAACGTGGTGAAAAAAAGTTTAGAAAATAAGTATAGAATGTTAGAGCCCAGAAGGGATGCTGGGAAGCTTGCAACTCATAGAATTCCGTGTGTGCTCAACAACTGCTCACTGAATGAAGGTATCGATGAATGTTCTAATTTCAACGGTTCATGATCTACACTCCCTGGAGGTTGCTCTGGGTTTTGTACAGTAACTTCTGCTCTGAAGTGGAGTCAACCTGCTGTGAATGTGAGTGCAAATGTGATTCTAGGTACTGGGCATGTACTATGATCTGCCAACAGTTGTTAGGGGATGAACGCAGGAAGGAGTAATGTATCAATGAGAAGAATAATGAATGACTTGAACTTTAATAATCATGCTGAAGGCCTGCAACCTAAAGACATACTTATGTTCGTTTTATGTGCACAGACATTTAGCCTGCAGGTGTATATGTGCAGCATGTGTATCTAGTGCCTACAGAGACCAGAAAAGGGAAGCAGATAGATCCCTTGGAACTGGAGTGACGGAGAGTTACGAGCTGTCATGTGGGTTCTGGGAACCAAATTTGATCCTCTACAAGAGTAGCAAGTATTCTTAACTGTTAGGCCATCTCTCCAGCATCCAGAACTGAATTTTCAAGGGAAAAAAAAAAAGACAAAAAGCTAACTTTCGTCTGACCTCTCTATATCTTATTTTCCTTACACCAAGAGAAGCATAAAAATATCAGTGACCTTTTGCTGACTTCCAAGGGATATGAAAAAGGATAAACATGTCTGGTTATGTCGAGCTTCTGGAGTTCCTTGGGGAGAAACTGTGGGCTTTAATTTCATGATTAGAAGCTACCTGTAAAGCTGTTGCACCGCTAAACAAACGAAGTATCTTCAAACAGAAGAAGGGGCAGGTCACGTGCCCATTGGCAAACTTCTGCCAATTCCCCTGGCCCTCCGCCTGGTGCCCACTGGGGCTCAGTGTGGACAAATACCAAATTCCGAGTTTGTCTGGGTTGTGTGGTAGGAGCTGGAGGTATGTCTTCCTACAGGGAATTGAGCAGGGGCAGGGATAGCACTGACATCCTCTTTCTCTGTCCACTCAAAGCCCTCTGACTCTCTACTAGACTTCAGGAGAGAAGGTGGAGGGGACAGGGAAAACAGTGGATGTGAAGCCTCTTCAAGTTTGTTATGCTTTTTGTAGGACGTTCTGACGTTTTTAACACCAAACTCCTCATGTCGCCATGGCAAACATAATTAGAAAATGGAAGTCAAGACCCCTACCTCAATAAAGAAAGGTGGAATAAGAATAGAAACTACTGACTGACTCTCTTAATATTGACCCAGACAATCTAGATTTGTCTGGATTATCTAGACATAGAAAAAGTCTTCTGTACATACAGTTAAATACGGAAAATGATATCCAAAGCCATGTTTACTGTAATATGTAAAATGACTAGGCACTGATAAAAAGAAACACGTTACTAAATGGGATGATGCTGACTCATGATATCTGTCACGATTTTTTAAAAATCATTACACTGCTAATGTACACCTAGATTTGAGCATACAGTGGGAAGAACACATCAAAAATATGACAGGCACGGGCAAAGAAACTAAAACCGTAACGTCACAAAAATTTAGAAGACAGGTCATACCTACGAACAATAGCATTTTTATTATATGACGATACCACATGCTTTTAAAATACTACTTATTGAATAAGAGAAGCTGCATTTGTGCTGAACCACAGTCTTGTGCAGGGGCCATGCTAATCTTCTCTGTATCGTTCCAATTTTAGTACATGTGCTGCCGAAGTGAGCACAATCATATTCTTATTTGCATGCAGGACACCAACACTTGGAAGTCCCATTATCTCTGATTCTGCATGGCTTAATTACTTCTTCCCAGGATGATTCTTTCTTCGACTGTCTTCACGTTGTCAACTTTAGCCACCCAACTGCTAGTCTCCTAAGCTAAAATCTAGGAACGTTTCTTCCTTCTCTTGCTCTCATCTTCTGGACCGGACCATGTCCTCATTAGCATTGGGGAAAGAAAATGTATTAGTTACTTCTCTCTCTGCTGTAACCAAATGCCGACAAAAAGCAACGTAAAGGCGGTGAGGTCACCTTGGCTCGAGGTTGGAAGGGATACAGTCCGTCACGACAAAGAAGGCATGGAAGCAGGTGGCCCCATGGTGGCAGGAGTGGACCCGGAAACAGAGAGCCTGGAGGGATGGCTCTTGGCTCACTTTCTCCTTTTCCCCTCTGACTCAGCCTGAGACCCCAGCCCATAGGCTGGCTCCACTCAGATTCAGGGCTGATCTTTCTATCTCACTTAATACTCTTTGGAAAAGCACCTCTGCACACACACACACACACACACACACACACACACACACACACACACACACACACAAAAGGTGTGCCCCATTACTCACCTAGGTATCCAAGTTGACGATCAAACTTCATCATCACAGGAAACACTGAGCTTTGTCCTGGGGAAGTCCCTTTAACTTCTGAGCATTGTTTCCCCATCCCTCCCTTTGTTGGCTCCAGAGAACCTTTCCACCTTGTCCTCCAGGAGCTTAAATCTGAATCCGACTTCTGTAGATGCTCGGGACATCCAAGGTGGACTAGACGGACACACTATCCACGTCCTCCCATTACCATGATAAACGTAACTATTTATTTCTTTGAATTTTTAAGGCACAGTTTTTGGAGTAAGACCGCCTGGGGGTAAAATCCAAGAACAAGTATTTCTACTGTGTGATCATGGACACATGCAGGTTTTCAGAAGCGGGTCAAATTGTAAGACCCAACTCTGAGTTGTTGAGGGCAGCTCTGAGGTGGTCCTGCAAATGGTGGCTGTTACATAATGATTATCCCTTCCGTCTCTGTCGGTGCTCATCGGAGTGCTAGGGGAGATGAATACGATCAAAATGCATTGTATGAGATTCTCAAAGAATTAATAAAAACAATATTTTTGAAAAGAGAAACTATTTTTTGCTCTTAAGAACGTAAGTCCAGTGTCTATGATCAACATATAGATAATTATAGTGCAAAAGTGGAGTGAGGTAGTACTGGTGAGCACTGGGTGGTCTGATGGCATTTCTTTCTCCTCGTCAGAGAGGGGTGATAGAAAGGCAGGTAGGAAGCATAATGCTTACTGTCTATTATGACATGCTGGTGGCAGCCGTGGGTCAGACAGACGTACGCTGTCAGTGTTACACACGGTCCTCGACAACTGCAGCCCTCTGCGGGAAGCCGGTGCCTCCTGCAGGACACAGGGTGTGAAGTCAAGAGAGGAGGGGAGAGAGCTGAGTGAGCCTTGTGAGATAACCAAGAAGACCCATCCGTCCACCTCCTGAGCAAGGGCAAGTCAGCAGGGAAGGGGGGAAAGAATCTCCCTTCTTGCCCAAAGACGTTAGCACAGAGTGCTGATGTGGTAAGGGAAGTGGATACATAGTCCAGGCTGTGGGCAGAGTATGAAGCCAGAGAAGGAGTCCCCGAGGAGCTTCACAGGACAGACAAGAGAAAGAGAGAGAGCAAAACGAAGGATGTTGTAAGCAGAGAGAAGAGCACTGGTCAAGACCGATGTAACCTGGGAATAAAGGTGCTTTGATGCGACCAGAGTTTTAAGTTCCATGAATTCAATGTGGAAGTTGCAAGGCTCCAGTTCTGGGAGGTAGGTAAGGAAGGAGAGGGTACCCTGTATCCACTGTATCTTTGACAATTTGAAACATTAACAGCTTTTAATCAGTGTTTTCAATTGAGAAGGAGAGGCTAGGGGAGATAATTGAGGCAGATATTCTGATACTTCAGCTATAGACAGCAGGAGCTCGAGTCAGGATTTTCTCACATCAAAGGCTAACAGAAGTGGATGGATCTGAGAGGTACTTTGGAAGTCTGACAGCCAAACTCAGGAAATGCTTTGCTGCTAACTGGGGCTTCCTGCCTCTGTGTGAGCCACACTGAACCTCCCTGTTCTACCTAAGGTCTCACCGTGTGCTGGGCACCATGCCCTGTGCTTGATCTGCATGCTCCATTCAAAGAGTCTGCCCGTGAGGTGGGTAGCAAAACTGAGGTTCCAAGAGTGAGCCTAAGAAGGTCCAGTGAGGAGATGAGAACAGTTAGAATTCATGTCTAGAGAGCCTGACTCCAAAATCCCTGCAGCTAAGACAGCCTCATCTCTTTGCCGGTCCCCATGTGGTCCTGTGCTATGACTCCCCAGGACCAACCCATCGTTAACGCTGATGCTCTGAGGGCATCCATCTTTCTGTATCCTTCCTTCTTTCTCCGTCACTCTCTCTCTCCCCACAATTGCCCACTCTGGGGCTTTTCTATCACATAGATACCAAGTAGCACACCTCAAGAGCACATTTTTACTTTGTTTCATTTTTGTCAACTAGCAACACACGGACAGGAAATCCAAACAATCTAAATGGAAAGACAGTACAAGGCAGACTTTTCTGGGATCATCTCTCCATAGGCAACTGCTGTTATATTATGAGACCCTGGGCAAAAGAGATACAAGCCCAAACAGCTACATACTATTGAGGTGGCCAACAGAAAGAATTCTAACCTTCACTCCTCTACAGTTCTCCTTTTACCCATAACGCAGTGGTCCACAATTGATCACATAATTAATTCAAATTGTTTCACAAGTGTGGGCTTGTATCCCTGGGTGCAAATGGGTTTCCCGAGTTCATCAAAGTACTAGACACATAGTAGGTGTTCAATAAGTACTTGCTGATTAATGAAACTTTGAATTAATCCATACTAGCTTAACTGGCATGGCCCATGCCAACTTTGAATAGAGTCCTTGAATATCGTTTTTACATGGTTAGTTTTGCAATAGCATCTACTTGACTGGTTATTGGTCTCCTTCTAGAACTTTGTAAAAGCAGCTGAAAAAGGTACTGAAATAGATGCTGACATTCTAGCAACAGTCACTAAAAAATCTCATGCTTAAGATATTCAAGTCTCAATGCGCTGGTCATGCAATGCAAATTTGAGGAGTCTGGGCAAAAATGACGGGAACAGACAGTGCAGATTTCTTCTGCATGGCCCTAACAAGACTGTTATTTCTGCCATTTCCACCTGTTTATGTGAGACTATATACTCGCTTGAGCTAAATCTTAAATATTGGCTTTATTCTATTCATAATATTTCATCAAAATGTAACCACCTGACACTTCTAACTTGCTCTTCAGGTGAATGAGTCTCAAGCCATCTCTCAGGGAAGAACCAAAATGCATTTTCACACCACACCACAATGATGTTTTCATTTAATAATGCCGTAGAGTTACATTTTCCTCTGATTTGGCATCTCTTACGCTGAATTCATTTCTTTTGTTCTCCTGTGAGTTTCCAGCCATGATTTCAACGCCTAGAGTTCTGGTTTCAGGGCAGGGATTTTGGATCTTTATTTGTAATGGCAGCAAAAGTTCTGTGAAAGAGTCCATGTATGCTTCGTGCATTTTACAAGCTCAGGAAAACTGGCATTTCAGACAGTACCTATCCAATTACTAGGAAATGGGTTACAATAAAGTGGCCTGTGTAGAGATAGTACAGTAAAGACAAGCTCAATTAACAGTCACCACAATGTAGCAAAAAGGAGACAGTGTGAGGCACACTAATGGCCCATTCAAAAGTAAAGGACAGAGTAGGTGGCAGCAAAGAGCATCTCTTCCCTACACAAGCCACTGAATCACTCTGCTTAACAAGTGGACTAGGGGAGGTGATGGGTCTCAGCTGAGTTCAATAAAAAAGTAAGTTCGAAATGAAGGAAGAGGGTTCACAATAACATTGTGAAAAATTATTTTAGAAAATACTTGTTCCCTTCCATCTTTTTTTTTTTTTTTTTTGGTTTTTCGAGACAGGGTTTCTCTGTGTAGCTTTGCGCCTTTCCTGGGACTCACTTGGTAGCCCAGGCTGGCCTCGAACTCACAGAGATCCGCCTGGCTCTGCCTCCTGAGTGCTGGGATTAAAGGCGTGCGCCACCACCGCCTGGCTACCTTCCATCCTTTTTAAAGAAACACCAGGAGACGAATGAAGTGTCCTTGAGCCTATCTGCTGAATCGCATCCTGTGTGGGCTGTGAGAGACATCGTCTCATCATAGACATTTTAGAGAGTAGATTGTTTAATTACATGGCGGCACCATGGCGTCCACGGGCAGTAGTTGACAGTGTAGGAAGAAAGCAGAGCGCCACTCACTCGAGGCAGTGGGGAAGAGAGAAGGAAGTGGGTCAGGAGACATTTCTAGGCATAAGCCAAGATGGAGCACCTTGACCAGGATTGACAAACCGTCAATGGGAATGTAAGCAAGTGTCAATGGAACATCATCTTGCTGGCAGTGTGTGTCCATGTGTGTATCTGCACAAACCTGTGTCAATGTGTATGTGTGTATGCAGAGGGGAGAGACAGACTGACGTAAAAGAAGAGCTGGCGGTTTGGAAGGCCCGCTACAGAATCTGGACTTTATCCCAAAGGTCACAAGCTTCAGGAAGCCTTTAAGGTGAGAAGTGGCATGGGACAACTTGTCAGGCCAGAATGAAGGATGAACGGGAATAGAACAGGGAAGCGAACAACCAGGCAATAATTTGTGTGACCAGTGGTGAGGACCTGAACAGGGCGGAGTCAGCAGTAAGTAGGACAGTGGAGACTACAGGACTCAGAGCAGCAGAGAACAACAGGACAAGGGACAGACAGACATGAGAGAGGAAGGTAGGAGAATCTGGGATGATAGTGTGATGGTTCCTCTGGACGGCTAACTTGATTGGATGTAGATCCGCCTAGGGAGAGATGTCTCTGAGCATGTCT